TGGGGATTCTTCATGGGAACTTCGCTAATCATTTCAGGCAATAGTTTTATTTCTTATGATCAGTTGGGTGGGATATCTATCCTCTCCTACAGCTCTTGCAGATGTGGTCTTTTGGGCTGGGGACAAGGGCAGATGGCAGTGAACTGTCAGGGTGACTGCTCCCCTCTGCTCCCCACTGCTGCAGAGCAGAGAGAAGGCAATCGTCAAGATAGGACCATTCTGTTTGTAATTAATTCTGCTTAGGCAAGCAGGATTGTATTTAATTAATTTTGTAAAGAGTGGTAGCCAAAAAGGTTTGTAACATGTTTGGGGTTTAAAGAATAAAACCACACAGCCTCATTTACTAAATAATCCAACTAGTTTTAATAACTGATCTCCTGAGGGTGTCCGATAACCAGGTTCGCTATTAAGAAAATTATCATGAAACTAGGAGATATTTACCAGGGATAAGAAAGGCTGGAACTGGTAACTAATCCTTCCTGACTGTTCAACAGAGATTAGGTCCTCGTGAGATTGTTACAAATTTGAACTCCTACCTTTAAAAATAGATTTTTAAATTTTGGAGAGGGTTCAAATAAAATCAAGAGAAATGATTTTTTAAATTGTCCATTGTTATAAAGAAGAAAGGCTTATTTATTCAGAAAAAAAAATCTCAGGAATGATCATGTGTGCTTTCAATCTTATATTAAGATAAATAACTTGTTACTCAGTTGTCACAACACGACTGCATTAGTAAAGAGTGTTCGGCAGCCCAAGGAAGACATCACTTAAACACCAAAGGTTCAAAGGATAGTGTGGAAGTGTTAGCCCTGGAAATAGAATCTTACAAGTTCAGCCAGAGTGTGAAAGGATAGTGTATAAGTGTTATTTCTGGACATAGAGTCTTACAGGTTGAGCCAGAACCCTCCAGAAAGCAAGGGACTAGGTAGGTCCACCTCTCTGACAACGTGCAGAGGACTCGATGAAATAATGCAGGAAGGGGAAGAGATGTTGGGTATTTTCATGGATATGTATTCACTTATTTTAATTCTAAAGCATCTGAAAGAGCCTAAAAACTAGCTACAGGTAAATAGCCTTAAAATCTAAGAAATGGAGAGAAACCACTTTCACCTATAACCCTCAGATGGGCTCAGTAACATCTGGAAACTTGACCTGATTTGATTTTCTCTTTGTGACAGATGTGACACTGGGTAATCTGACATCTGAGTGTCAGTTTACTCATTTGTGAATACTGATAATCACACTCATTGAGAATGTGTTAAGAAAGTTAACAATATATAAAATCACCTAACGCATAGTGGAGACATTGTTGCTAAACAGAGCCAGCAAAGGAACTCAGATTCAGGCCCCTTTTCGGAATCATTTCTGAAAGTAGCCCCTAGATAATGTGGTGACATGCCAGGGAGAAGTCCCTGCCTCCAAGACGGCCTCCCTCCTGCTTGAGAAGTCTTGGTAGGCTTTGTACTTTACCTAGTGTCACTGCTTCTGTTACAGCTAAAATTGGCCCAGAGGAAAACAATGCACACTGGGGACAAGTCCTTGGAAAGGATGTGTGGGTGGTGGGGGTAATGACCCAGAGTGCCCTATATAGATGGGCAAAGATGGGAGGGAAGCAGAAAGGAATGTGGGTGGAAGTGGTCAATGGGGAAAAAGGGGGACCTCTGTAAAATTCTGAACAATAAAAAAAAAAAAAGGAAACTGGAAAGTTGTCACTCTAGCAGTTTGCCCAGGACCAAGCCTGCTTTAGAATTTGATAGTGTTCACTTCTGGCCATGGTGGGGCTTCCTGATGCCTGCACGGGTAAGAGGCAGGCATGCAGATTGACCTAAAGCCCAGCAGAATACAAAATGCAAGTTTCCTTCTTCTCTAAATGTTTGCAGTGTGTACGGAAGTGAAGAGTGGAAATTTATTTCAAATACATTTTATCTTCACACCTGTAACTAAGTCAGTTTCACAAACCATGTCAGGTTCCAAGAACCTAAAATAAATCTCATACTCTGGAAGAAAGTTTTCTAATGTAATTTGATTAGTTTGGTTCTGATAGATAAAAGAGAAGAAAATGAAACTTTTCCCCACAAAACACTCAGATCATATTTATGATTATTTCTGGACATATTTTTTTGAAAATATTCATGCAAAAGGTTCATTGTTTAATTGCTCTTAAAGCATTCTAAACAATCCAAATAATTTGGATATATATCATTGTTTACTTACCCAAGATTAAACAGGTAAGTCTGCAACATTTACTGAATTTCAATGAATAAGAAAGCAATTCAAGACATGCAAGATTTAGGAAAATGATTTCTTATTAGAATATTTCTGAAATATGTATGTATAATATCACTGAATATATTAATTTATTAATTGATGAGTTTGTTATAGATGAGATATGTCAAAACCAAACTTTTTTCCATTTAAAAATTTTAAGGTGACACATTGGCAATTACAGCTCCTTTAACATAATTTCAAGAGCTTTACATACTATGTAATTTGGATTCTACTGCTTCATTTGAGTGACTATAAAGTAGTTTGGGGTTTTTAAAGACTGAGAAGCATTTCTCAAGGTTAGCTTTTCCAAACAGAAAATTGAGTGTTACAAATTCCACCTCCCACAGACCAGAATTCACAACCATTGGTCAGGGGCAAATACCACTGGCTCTGTGTCCTCAGTCACTTCATGCCATTTCACCAAGTAGGAGCCAAAGGTAAGTTTTTACACTTGCTTTCTTCTTGGGCTAGAGACTTTTTTTCCTACTATAACAACCTTTAAAAAAATAATTCAACTTGCTTTAATATCTCATGGTGAACTTTGATTCAATGGATTGAGTTTAGTTTTCCTATATTTATATTATTCTTGGAAAATCCAAAATTATGAATTAGCTTAGGATTTAATAACATACAGCAAAATGGTTGATCTTAGTAGTCATGACAAATGCCAATAAAATTGCAGCAGTTTCCAATATATTTCTTAAATGAAGTGCTCTGACAGACCACATTCTTTGCCAGCACAGGCAGGCACTATTGATTGTTATTGATTGAAATATTATGCAAAAGAAAATTATGAGATCTCAGGTGTTTAAAAAATACAGTGGTCATACTAGAATCATGCATTTAGAATGCCTTTTTGAGCTGTATATTTTAAAATTTTATATAAGCATGCATTTTCAAAATATCAGGAAATAGAGTCAAGTGGACAACAATTTCAAAGTTTCAACAAAGACACTACATTAGATACTAATAAAATTACTTGAAGGAAGAAATCTATATTTTTAACTAAACATGAATATATGTTCTTCCTATTTCTAAGATTCACACAGATCTCCTTATTGCTGGAAGCTTTAGGGGATATGCCAAATGCAGGGAAGCTCTAATAGTAGACCTTTATGACCAAATACAGACAGAGTGTGAAGCGAGAGAAAGAAACAGCAAGTGCATAATTTCTTTGAACAATGCAAGTTGCCAGAAATGTACAAGAAATAAAAGGATTTTAGGTTGGAGTGGCCACTGTTAGTGTTTCCCATTTGAATATGGGAGCATGGCTCCTGGAAGATTTGCAAACCACACTGTTGTATTCAGGCTTTGTCAGTAATTGCAGAGAACAGTTCCAAATATGCGATCCTGCACAGATCTCTTCAAAGGCAGGTAAAACAGAGGCTTAGTTTATCCAGTGTGAATAAAAAAATTATTTGAAGAAAGCATAGAAGGGGATAAAAAGGAGGTCCTTGTACTGCTTCTTATTCTCAGAGGAATTTCATATCCTTCTGCCTAAGCCTGCTTCATAAAGACTTTCTTTCAAGTAACTGAAGGTCAGTTGGTCTGCCGGCGCATTCAAGTTTAAAAGCAATGTTTACCATGAATTCCCTTTGATACGTGTGCCTAGGTACAAGCACCCCATATACTGTTTTTAAAGTAAGCCCAAGAAGCGTATCCAAAACACAAAGCCTTAAAATTAGATATCTTTGATAAAAGTGTAACAAGTAATCTGCTTCCTCAATAATCACTAGGCAATAGTTTTGATAGGCCCAACTTAAATGCTTAAAGTTAAACATGAGAGATTTTTTTTTAAATAAACTAAAATATATTCAAAGGAGTACATATAGAATTAAAATCATAAGATCTTGATTATATCCCCCAAAGCATAATGTTATCATGGAAAATAAGAATTGTGCTTACTAAAGAATTACAAAACAAAAGGTTCTTTAGTCCTGTTTCTGTACAAATCCTCCTCTAAGGGATCTTGCCAATTAATGCCTTTTAGACATGTATTCCTATTATGCTGATTTTAAACCCTAGACAGTGAAATAAAACACTAAGGACTAAAGGAAAAATAGCTTTCTGTTCTGTTCCATTTAGTTAAGAACAAGTTTTGAAAAATATTCCATGAAATATTAATGCATGAATATATTAAATGATCTATATTTTAATAATACCCAGAGGCAACAAAAAAGTAAAAAGACAAAGAATCTTTATTATTTTGTCTGAAAAGATCCTAGGCTTGACTGTACAAGAAACAGTTATGAGTCCTTGTTGTATGAAGAGCCAGATCTGTCTTGGTTTTCTCATCTGTAAAACAGTGTGACAGTTACATTTATCATCATCATTATCACCATCTTCCCCACATTCCAGAGCTGATGAAACAATCTTAATGCTTAGTAATGTAAAGGCTTTTGTGAATAAGTATATCACAGTCTTTCTGCATCCCATTTTCCCCATGTTTCTCTATGAAATAAAATCAATTTCACTGTAATTACCATATCTACCGTAAAAAAATGGATAGGTTTGTGCCTTAATTTGAACATCTGGTATCAATAGTCACCAGAAACCAAACAAATTCTTGTGTTATGTTTATAAATTATCCATTTAAAGAAAGCTACCAGCTTGAGTTCCTCAGTGTTGACATTGATTTATCTATCATTCCTGTTTAGTGAAAAGTATTCATAAGTTATTATCAATGAAATATTAATGCATTTTAATATTTTATGATTAGGAAAGCTTGAAAAATGAAAGCATTAGCAAGACTTGTTCTGGGGCTTATCATCTTCGATGCTGCTGTGACTGCTCCAACTTTAGAGACCATCAACTATGACTCAGAAACTTATGACGCCACCTTGGAAGACCTGGATAATTTATACAACTATGAAAACATGCCTATTGGTCAAGCCGAGGTACTCTTACAAGCATTGTATGAGGAATTATTGGGGATTGTTCTCTTCAAATAGATTCCTGTTTATAAATTGAGATGTTCTGTCTTAATAATTTCATATGAACTTTTTCTCCAGAACATGCCAATCTGTTAGAGATTACCATGGAAACATTCTTTTGCTTTCTTACAGTTCACTTTATTTTCTTTATATCTTCTCACAAAATTGGGGGGAAAATAGTTTTTGTCATGTTAGAACAGAGAAACTGGAGGAAAAAGCCATGGTCAGTAAGGAAAAGTAAAAATAAGGCATATGCAATGGTCAAGAACTTTGGGAAGTTTGCAGTAAAGGGAAAAAATGTGAGGTTATAAAAAATTAGGAAATAAAAAGAATATAAAGGACAATGGTTTGGGACATCACGGTATTCCAAGAGCAAATGTGCTTTCCTAAATGACTGATTGTCTCTCAGCAGTAATGTAGGCATTGGCAAGGTTACAGCCCACATTTTATAAATCTGAGATGACATGTTCCTAATTAAATGCTAGGCTTTTTACATAACTAAAGAATACAGATTAATTTTTCTGAATCAGAAAACAAACAGACCTTGAAATGCTGAAGTGTAATTAATGTACAACATTGACAAAAACTAATTAAGTATAAATAAACCAAAAGGGAAATTACATCATCATTATAGGATCGTAACATATTTTGGGCAGTCTTCAAGTATAAGCCTTCTTATAATAACTACTTTGGAAAACTAAGAAAATAGAATATTTAGACAAAAGCATATATTTAAATTGTATGAAACTTAGATATATCTTTACTATTATATACATCTTTATTAAGATATAAACATTCTCATTATTTTTATGACTTATGAAATACAAGAATTAGAATTTACAATACAATAGTTTTCACTTCTTCTCCCCTTACTCTATTTCCCCCCCTATCTTTTTCTCTTTTGTCTTCATTTTTTTTATATCACCCCTACTCTCTCTCTCTCCCTTTCCCACTTTTTAGTAAAGTTTTAGCGTTGACAGCACAGATCACTTTTCTTCTACACATTGGATATGTCCCTATTTTCTAAGTCTTTATTAACATTCACTGTTTGATTCATTTGCCTGTATGGCTTTGTTATGTTAAGGAAATTTTCTGTTGAGAATTTATGGTCATTAATCACCAATCTTGCTGTCTGTAATCTCTCTATAGCTCCAACTTAACGCATCAATGTAGAGTATGAGAAGAAAATTTTCTAGTGTTTAACTCACTTACCCTGCTCCTTTTTTCCATCTTGCATATATATTAAATATATATATATATATGTCAGTGCATATCTGAAGCTGTCTACCAAATTAAATATTTCAATGTAAATTTATTTGTCATTTATCCAAAAAGTATTTTATAGGACCAGAGAGGTTTGGTGAACACCATAAGTGCATCCTCTATTTTGAGTAGGGCTGGGGAGTAGATTCAAAGGACTGCTAATTCTCTTCAGAAGACCATATGCACCAGAGAGGAAATATTGCTTGAAACCAAGGCTGCCTTAGGCAAAATTGTGACATCAATGAGCTATATCTGCAGACTTCTTTTAAGCCATTTCTTGCTGTCAAGATGTCTTTTGCTGCTCGGGAGGCTCTGTAACATTCTCATGAGATTCTGAAATTCTTCCTGCCACCAAAAAATTTAAGCTAAGAAATATATCTATATAAAGATGAATTTAATATACAACCTTCCCTCAGTATTCTTTTATTCTTAAATAGCAAACTTCTACCAAATATGTGACATAGCATCCTTACATACCCTAGCCCTTACCTCATGCAAACATCCCTGATTTTCACATGGGCCTAGCTAAACTCAAAATCCTAACAACTGAGGGCCCCAGAGAGCCACTGATAATTCCTGTGGTTGACTGAAATATATAATCATCCCTGATTTAACAATCCTTTGTGGTAAAGTCGCATTTATAAAACCAATTTATAGATAAATTATATAGAAAAATATACATGTACATGTGCTATGATAATATAACACATTTGAAGATATAAACTATACATAATTTTTTAAAAATACAAAGTTTGTCCAATAGCAAAAATCAATCGACCCATTCAGCCACCACCTATGATAAAAAAAATCCAAAAAAAATATGATAGATAAGATGGCATGAAGAACAAAATTCCAAAGAACTTTAGCTTAGATATTAACAAATTATTGATATAAATTGCTTTACAAACAAACCAAAAACTGGTATGTAATTCCTCATGGGAAGATATGAAACAAAGCCAATAGACTTTCCATTCACAATAGTCATGTGAATGGATTCTAAAATATAGGTAGGTACTCAGGACATTAACTTCTTAAATGCAGCCTTGGAAGTTCATACTCTGGTGACTCCTGGTATGATTATTTATCTCATCTTTAAAATTAAGGGCAGTCGTGACACATGTTCTTGATCCTATGTGACAATTTTTGAATGAACACTGGTAATATATTCATACAGGATACAGTTGATTTTTTAAAAAATGATGGAAAATAAAACACATGGAAAATGGTGGGATCCAATTCTTCACTCTTTGTCCTCAATACCAAGATTATGGTTCTGCTTGTTTTAGCCTAAAATTTATTTTATCTGTAGAAAAGACAACTTATATTCTTAAACTGTAAATTTATGCGATAACTGACCAATGCTTTCAATGCCAGTCTCTTTCCTATAAATTCTAAAACTTGGCATCTTTGACCAATAGAGTAGACCTTTTGGTCCAGGCTTTGAATTATTAATCCTTAAGGCTTTGGACATATGTGACAAGCAGAATTCTAAGATGCCTCTTAAATGACCCATCCCCTGGTGTGTCCATGCCACCTAGAATTCTTAACATCATGAATTTATTTGGTTATCACTCTTGTAACTAGGTTATGTTATATAATCTTCTTAAGGAGATTATCTTGGTCAGCCAGACCTAAACTCATGAGCCCTTTAAAACAGCATCTTGAAGTTAAGGACAAAATTTGAATCATGAGAGAAATTCAATGCAAGGGAAACTGTTGCTGGCTTTAAAGATAGATGGGTCCACATAGCAAGGAATGCAGAAGTTTCTAGATGCTGAGGGAAGCTGACAGCCAGCAAGTTTATAGGGACCTCAGTCTTATAGATACAAGAAACCCTGATCTCCACATGACGTCACAGACCTGGCCATCACCTTAATTTTGACCTTGTGAGACCTAAAGAGAGAACTCAGTCAGGCCAGCCTTGAATTTCTGACCCAGAGAAACCATGAGTTAAAAAATGGGTATAGATAGTTTTAATTTGCTCAGTTTCTAGAATTTATTATGCAGCAATAGAAAACTAGTAAAATATGTAATAAGTAAACATTTTTTTCTGAAAACAAAATTTGAATTTATTTGCTGCAAGACTTGAGTTTGTGAGACCAATGGTTTATCTGGTCAATGAGCCAAACCACCCCTTGCTCCTCAGGTTTAGAATCTCAACAGAGCTTTATTGATTTTTACTAGCGGTAGTATATTCATTACCTCCTTAGTAGTTGGGGAAGAGCCATGAAAACATTTCTGTTTTTGAAAATTATATGCAGTAATAGTATTCCAGCCTGACGACATGTGATGTCTGATGATCTAGAATACACAGGACCTGCTGGATTCTATGTTAGGAACAGATTTGAAGCCCAGCACTTCTGTCGTCATGCTCTATATTACCCAGTGGGTACACGTGTTAGTATAACATAAAATTGTTGCCATGTTTCTGAGCTTTTCCTTTACTGTAGTGGAATGACTAGGGCGGGGTTATAAACCATGAGACCAAATATAGGTTGCTTTGCTTCCTGATGAATAAGGGTTGATCCTGAGCGAGCACTTAGTATGTGCCAGGCACTGCTCTAGGCATTTCACGGGGATTATCTCCTTTATTTCTCACACACATACAAAAAGCCCTATGAAGTACTATTGTCATTTCCAATGAATAGATGAAGATATAGAGACAAAGAACAGGTAAGGAGTTTGACTAAGACTGCACAGGTATATAGTCATAGTGATATTTTCTTCTCATGTCGGAAAATAACCTTCAGCAGATTAATAAAGGATTGCATTGCCTCCCTCCATTTTCTGCCATTTTCCAAATGGTCCTTTTGACTTCATACTGGTTTTAGTTGAACTGAATGCCAAGAGCTCCAACACTCCTAAAAGAGAAAGGAAACCGCTGAATAATGTGAACTAGAAGTAACTTTGCCTCCAGTAATTAGCTAACTCACTGTTGTTAGCTAACTCACTGTTATCTAATTAGTATAAGAAAGAATGGCTTGAACTCACTACTTCAAAGAATAATTGTGGACAGGGGCTCTCCCGCTTATATCTAAGTTATGGGCAGTAACGTAAATGTACATTATTTTTTATACTTACATAGTAGCATGTATACAGGATGGGGGAAAGTAGATTTACAGTTTTGAGTATGTGAAACACAGAATTTATTCTTGTATTATTTTTTACTAATTATTTGATTACTTTCCATATGAACACCTGCAAACCCATTTTTGCCCCACCCTGCATATATTACATATTTGGTGGTCTAGGGTCCAGGGCAACATTTCCCTATTAGCCTTAAAGAATTCATCAGAAAACTACATAGTTTAAAATTCAGTGTTCTTTGAGTGGCTTAAATTGAGATTGTGTTTTTGACCAAGGTAGTTACTTGGTGTTTCCATTTTCATGGCATACTTCGGGGGTTATCGATTGTCTCTCTCTCCTAGGTCTAAGAAAACCATTATCCTTGATCATTAAGAATTTCTTTTACCTACCAAAGGTCCCAGTGACTCTGCTGAAGGAGTTGAACATCCATTCCTCCTGTAAAATTTCCTTGGCCCCATTTGGACAGTTGGACCTCTGCTCACCTATACTGCATTACTTTAGTCTTAAATAATCACTTCTACTTAATTGCACCTGAACTGCCTCTGAATCATCAAGAAACATCAAGAATGTTGTACTACAGAGCCCATGGAGCACACTTGATTGCATTATTGTAG